AACACTAATAAAAATTTGGAAATATTTAAAGAACAAAAATTAATTTCATCAAATCAAATGGCAATACATTAACAATAAATTATAATTAATAAATACAATAAATTTGATTTTATAAAATCAAATGATTTTATGAAAATTGAAAATTTAAGTGAAAATGGATCAAATGAAATATTTCAATTACTTTTTGAGCAGGAAATAATTACAAAGGATGGACTATTTTTGAAAAATAATTTAGCAAAATTAAATCTTAAAAAATATGAAATTTATGAACAACGAATTATTTCAATTTTAAATTATCAATGTTTATATAAAATACAAATGTTAGAATTATTAGAAAAAATTAATTCAGAAAAATTTGATAATGATAATATTCATTTAATATTGGAAAATAATTTAGACAAGCAATTGTGTGGTTTAGAATCATTATTAATTTTCAAGTTTCATTTTGTGATAAAATGATAACACGTGGAGAGAAATTGGAGAAATTTTTAATTGAAAATAGCAATATTCGTGAAACTAAAGATATTTGTAAAAGTTTGACAAAATCATTACAAGCTACAATTGGTAAATTAAATGTTTTATCAAAACCCAATTCATGTTTAAATGATATTAAAGAAAATTTTAATGGAAATGAAAAAATTTGAATATTTGGAAGAATTAGAATTATTTAAAATCAGCGGTTTAGATCAAATTATCGATATTGAAGAGAAAAAATATACATGGCAAATGTAATCAAGTACTGGTGTCATTTTTTGTATTTGGTTTTTCACAAATAATTGGCGGTGTTGTTCTTGAATTATACAGTCTTGAAATTGGTACTCATGTTGCAGCTGGTTTAATATCAAAAGAAATTAGTGATATTTTTTACGCGTTTTCCGCTGCAAAAAGTAACTATTTTAATTGAAATGATTATTTTATACATAAAATAAAAAGTAAACTAAATCATTTTGTGGCCCAGACAAATCTCAGTCGAACGCCCCTAAAAGTAGTTCTAAATCTTTTAGCGGTAAGAAATCGTAAATAATTCTCTAAGTGGCTCGAGAAAGTAACTCGTCCATCTCAGCACACTGCGTTTGCTCTATTGCCACCACCGGCGGTGTCAACAAGGAGCTATTGCCACTACCGGTGGTGTCAATCACGGCTACTGCCACCACCAAGCAAAATCAAATCTTCATCGTTTTCCGATTCATTATCACTCTTTTATTGTTGTGCACTTTGTATTTCTATTAACATTTGATTAAGTGCTAGAAACAAAATAACAAAACTCTATATATACTAATCTTTAGTTAAATGAAACTCTCAGATCCGAAGGTTGGACAAGTATTTTTTCATGTGAATGAG